GAGTCAGTGTGCTAAAATTTCTTCATTTTCCTTGTTAAGAATCAGAGGTGCTAGTTTCAAATCCTTTTTAGTCTGAAATCTGTATGCTAGATATTGAGTAAGGTGGTTTTATTGTTTTTTGTCACTTTGAATAATATTTCTGTTCATGTTAAAAACAAAATCAACTCTCTGTATAAATATATCAGGTGACCGTTAAGGCCCATGGCCCTCTTGTTGAAATTTTGTATTACAAAGACACTATATCCTATCGTATAGACTTTTAACTGTGATACCATTGTTTTTATATTTTGAAACTTTATAAATTCTACAACAAATATGATACAATATTATTAACTGATATATATCACTCTACTTGGCCCGGATGGTAGAGCGCATGGGTCTCGGGGCCCCAAAGGGAAAATTAACCAATATTTCAAAAATCTTCTTCTCCAGACTCAGAGGTACTACAGTCATTTTCTCTGCATGGAAAGAAAGATCATCAGGGGCTTTACTTATCCATGTCATATTTTATCCCAGTCACATTGAAGCAAGTAGTGACACAGATATGAGTATGAATCATGGCGGTAATCCATACATCCAAATTCCTTATTTCTTAGTTGTGCTTTCCCCCCAAACAGACTCCTGGACCATCTTCACTTCATCTGCATCTGGTGTTTTCTGGAGTAACATCACAATCAGAGATTCACGTAAACGTTTGGATGTGCAGGCTTGCGCATTCTTAGCCCGAGTTTCCTCTGGCCTTAACACCAGACTTTGACGTAATTTTGACAGATGGATGTCTGGTGTGGGGCCAGAGGAAACTCGGGCTAGCTCATTCTGTGGACTACAAAACCTCAATATGTAAAGTTGTACGTGGCCCGGTCTCGTCCTAATGGTTCTACAGGTCCAGCTATATATGCCACGAAACGAGATAAATCTGCGTTGTGCACGAGAACACCCTCCTTTTGTCGAGTTGGAATCAGCTTTGTAGCTTTCTAACCCAAGAGTCTTTATCTAAATGTACTGTTGTTAAGTTGAAAGAACAAGCTGCCATTGTCGTAAATAGGAATACTGCATTCCTCCAGTTTTTGAAATTAAGATAATTGAGGGATTTTACACACTCCCTCCCCTTCTGTTCAATGGTAGTTTGGATTAGATTTCGACGGTTTTGCCTTTTTTGACCCTTAGCATCAACGATGTGTTTTAACAGATGTTAACGCTTCCAAAAATCCAAATAAACACAGAATCACCACTGACAGCAATTATGAAGCTATACTCGAAATAACGATTTGCTATAAATATGATGATTTTTCTTTTAGGAAACCGATGCTTTTTATCATTTAATCAAATTTTATGTTCCTCTGACAACAAAACTGTTCTTGCTGTCAGAGGAGATGCGTGGTATGATGTCCACAACACAGGAAGGAAAACATGTTTAACTCAGAAAGCTGTTGCATGGAATAAATCAACAATTAAGATGAACCATACGTTTCAAATATGAGAAGATCATTCTGTATTTTTGGACTACCAAGATGTGCCAAACTACAGCAGCTTTTATTCCATAAACTTCATATACCCTTTTTAAGGTATCTGTCTGATGCACATATGTTCTGGTTACCTTAGGCGCGTGTACTTACATTCAAGGATTGCGATTGATTTACAACAAAGGGAACAATTGAAGCTGCACATAAAAACTGTGTTCAAATTCAGACGTCAGATCTAGTCAAATCATCAATCCCAGGTCGAATACAACGTCTTATTCACGTATTGTAGAAATTCTAGAACTTTATAGACTGTTCATTTTATGTATTTGTATAAAGACAAACATCAAGCGACCGATACATGTTCTGTTTTTGTAGTTATTTATGTATTTGAAGTTCTCTTGAGTTTATCAGTTCTATGTGAAGCCAGCTTTGTTCTGTTGTGACGGTTTACGGTTTCATACCTAACACTGGATTGTGAACAATGTACAAAATAGGCCAACGGACCAGTTCGTCTTAGATTTTTGGATTTAGAGAAGTCACATCTCAGTGAATTAGGTAACACGGGATATTGTCGCATACACAGGGACCTGATAATTTGTTACAGCTATATTTGGACCTAATTAAGGTAAATATGACACCCCAAATGGTCATATACTCGTATATATA